CAAGCTGATGCATGCAAAATAGCATGCCCCCACATAGACACAAATAACTTTGTTCTCATTAGTAATGGTCTAACTATCAATTGCAGACGTTTAATCAATGATTCTGCTAGACCATTTTGAGTGTGAACATGCGCAACTGGATGTTCAACTGTTATACCAGTAGACATACAATAATCATTAAATGCCTGAGATGTAAACTCACCAGCATTATCTAGACGGATTGTCTTTATTGTATAGTCTGAAAATTGGCTTTCAATCTTATTATTGAGCCAGAAATCTCGCAAAAGTCATGTTGCGAGTTGATAATAAATACACATGTGACCATCTTGTAGAAGCATCTATCAAGACCATATTATATTTAAAGGGTCCACATGCAGGTTGAATTGGTCCACATATATCACCCTGTATACGTTCCAGAAACGTAGGGGATTCAATTCCAATCTTAACTATTGATGGTTTAATGATCAAATTTCCTTGAGAACAAGAAGCACAAGAGAATTCCTTTGATTGAAGGATATTTGGGCTCTTTAAGTTGTGCCCATGTGAATTCTCAATGATTTTGCGCATCATATTAAATCCGGGATGGCCCAACCAGTCATGCCAAATGATAAAATCATTAAAATTAGTAAACCTTTTGTTTACTACGGCATGTGATTCAATTGTACTTAGTACAACCCAGAAGAAAGTGCAGGTAATTTTTAATGCACAATTTTCTTGTCTACATTAATTATAGTAATGTAAAGGTATTCAACATTTCCTTCATTAGCAGTCTCAACATGATAGCCATTTTGGCAAATAACTTTGAAACTTAATAAGTTTCTTTAAGACTTACTACAATATAATGCATTATCAATGCTTAATATTGTCCCTCCAGGTAGTAATAAGGTCGCTCTTCCAAGCCCTCAATTAATTTTGTACTACCTGATATTGTGTTGACATATGCCATTTTCATAACCAAATTAGAAATGTACTTCTTTTCTTTTAATATTGTATGCGTTGTAGCACTATCAAGAAGGCATACATCTCCATTACTCATCTTGAATTCAACTAACAACTGGGGATTTCTATTAATTTTCATTAAAATAAAATAATTGAAAGAAGGAAGAAACAAAATTAACAACGAAAATTTAAATACTTCAACATGAATAACATAATAATTAAAAACACATAAGCAAAATATTATGTAAAATATTAACAGACTTCATTCCCCAGCTAAAATATCAAACATCAGTTTCGATCTCCAAAGAAGTCATCAACTTCCATATGAGTAATGTCACCAAGGCCATCAAAAACATTATCCTTTAAAGCCAAATTTTCTTCAACATCCGTATCATATTTCTGAGATGTTCCCGGATTATCATCATCTTTAAGAGTCATATGTGACTCAGCTCGAGCATTGGAAGAGGAAGCACCACTTTTATTTCCTTTCTTTTTAAAGGAATTTTGATAGATACTTACAAAATGCTCATGTGTTAGACATTCATTCTTCCAATGGTCTTTCATGCCACAAAGACGACAATTACTTTTTGAGGGGTTATTTTGAGAACTCATGTTGTTCTTCCTTTTATTATGACCACCACCTTGACGATTAGTGTATCGTCTTTTATCTTTGTCATGTCCCCGAGCATTATTATAGCCCCGATGATCATCTCTTTTTACTTCAGATTGATCACGTGCTCCCACCATATTTGCCTCCGGCAATGGAGCAGCTCCAGTGGGACGAGCTTAATGATTTTTCATTAAAGAGCATTATGTTGCTCAGCCACCAAAATACATGAGATTAGCTCAAAATATTTCTGAAAACCCTTTTCACGATATTGCTGCTGCAATATCGCATTTGAGGCATGGAAAGTAGTAAGTGTCTTTTGCAACATGTCCTCATCTCTTATAGTCTCCCCACATAATTTCAACTAGGAGGTTATCCTGAATACAGTAGAGTTGTATTCAATTACGGTTTTAAAATCTTGAAATCGTAAATGCATCCACTCATAACGAGCTCTTAGCAACATTGTTGCCTTTCGATGGTAATATCTCTCTTTTAAATCAGTCCACAATTCAAGTGGATCTTTTACCGTCAGATATTCAATCTTTAGGCCCTCATCAAGATGATGACGAAGAAAAATCATAGCCTTCGCCTTATCTTGACTCGATGCTTCATTTCCCTGAGTAATAGTGGCATCAAGACCTTTAGCAGCCAACTAAATCTCAGCATCGAGTACCCATGAAAGATAATTCTTTCCAAAAGTATCTAATGCCACAAACTCAAGTTTGGATAAATTCGACATAATGAAATTATGAGAGAAAATGTGAATTAAATAAAAATATTTATATAATACCTTTGCAAGTAGAAACTTCGTGTTGATAACGTGTTGTAAAGAAAGCTCAGAATATAAGAAGAAAAAGACAAGAAGTATAACATAGAGGAGAGAATTTTTCTTATTCAAGTGTATCTTCTAAATGGTGAGTGATTCTCTATTTATAGTGTTGAGATATCACTCCAAAAGTCATCTAATTAGTAGATACATAGTTACCTTGGAAGTTTTTATCACCTTGGAAGCACCTATACATGAATTCATTTAATAGTGTATAAATCTAATGGATAATCCACATATGTTATACAATGAATTTACAACATTTTTTATTTTTTTAAAAGTCAATAATACCACTCAACTACTATATTTTTGCAAAAAAAAAAAATACTAAAACCTCAATTGCCTCTTCTATTCTAGTTGATATGACATATCATTAATCATCGTTTTGAAAAATAAACGTATTTCACTCATCAAACTTATGTCTCTAAAAAGAGGTTATAAATTTCATGAGAATTTATAAAGGTTATATTTTTTAAAAAATCTAATTTCAGATTTTTCTACCAAAGAAAATTGAATGAAAAAATGTTTGTATGCAATTATTACCTGAAAAATGTTTGAATTTCTGAAGTATATTATCAAAAATTTTCAAGTAAATTTTTTTCATACAAATATTCAAATAAATTTGTAAGTTTGACGGAGAGAAAAGTTGGTAAGAAAGAGAAATTTATTAATTTAATTTAATTTTATTCTATTCTTTTATGATTATTAAATTATTATATTTAGTCTTAGTAAATAATTGAATGCCAATATGTATCCATATCTCATCCCAAATTCACGACACAAGTAATAATCAATTAAATTCCCTATTTTAAATTTAATTATGCACATTATATGAGATTAATATGCTCATTAATAAAGATCAAAATTTTATTTTCTAATATAAATATTATTTAATTTTTTTTCAAAAAAAGATATGTACGTATGGATTTCAAAATATATAGTTTTCTTAATATTTAATTGACCTTTAATATTATTGAATCATCATACAATATAGGGATAATGCACAAGTACCCCCTCAACCTATGCCCGAAATCCCAGAGACACATTTATACTATACTAAGGTCCTATTACCCCCCTGAACTTATTTTATAAGGAATTTTCTACCCCTTTTTAGCCTACGTGGCACTGGTTTGAAAAAAAAAGTCAACCATCGTTGGACCCACAAGATAGTGCCATGTAGGCCAAAAAGGGGTAAAAAATTATTAATAAAATAAGTTCAGGGGGGGTAATAGGACCTTAGTATAGTATAAGTGTGTCTCTGGGATTTCGGGCATAGGTTGATGGGGTACTTGGGTATTATCCCTACAATATATGATTAATTAATATAAATCGATACTCATGAGCAATTTGTTTATAAATATTTTTTGAATATATGTGTTTATAAGAACTCAAAATTAATGACATTGTAATATGTTTTAAAAGGTTATTCTTTATAACATATAAAAAATCATAATTAAAAATTATAATAAACTATTTTTAAGTATGCAAAATTCTTCTTAATAAACTAATGTATACTTTTTTTTAAAAAAAATATTTTATTTAAATGTGTTTGATAAATTAAATAAGTCTATTGTTAAAAAAAACTTTAACGAAATATGTTGGTTTTAAATAAAACAAAAATGATATTTAAAGGTAATTTTTAACTTGGAAAATCATTTTAAAGAGGAAAATTGTATAAAATAATAAATTATTAATTTAAAATTAGATGTTGTGAACCACAGTTTCATTTTATTTTAATATGTAGCAAACAGTTTGTCACTCGCCTCTCTCCCCAATGAATCCCACTCGCCTCTTTTCCCATCGAATCTCGCTCAACACTCTCTCTCTACTCTATCACTTTATACAAACACAAATATATAATATAAATTGTGTTTTTGTTTGTATAAAGCGAAAAAAAATTGTATATACACATGCAAATACATATAACATCGTCCTATGCATTTGTAATTTTACAATACAAATCTATCACTTCGTAGTTCTGTTTTGTCATTTTCTCTTTCTCGTTTTATACAAACACAAATATACAAAAAATACAATTTATAATTTGTGTTTGTATAAAATGAGAGAGAGATTCATATAAAAAAACAGTTACATGTGCATATATATATATTTTATATATATATATACACACACACACGCACTCGCGACTGAAAATCACAAAAAAAACATATATATAAAAATACAAGTACATATACATATACAGATTTTGATGTATAAGTATATGGAAATATATAAACACAGATTTTTATTTATACATATACTAAAATATACAAATTAATAATCATAGCAAACATAAATTTTTTTATAGAGCATAATTATATAAATTATAATCCTAGCATACAAATATAATATTTATATTTGTTAAATCTAAAATCTACTCTTTTAAAAATCCTAATGATCTACCTTATCTATTGAACTTTGATATTATTTTATTCCAATCTATAACTATGAAATAAACTTTATGGGCGAACCAAATTAGCCATGTAACTAATTCTGGTGGAAAATATTGACCAATGATGATGTCATTGAGCAGACCAGTGATGTCATTATTCTTTGAAAATATGAAATCCATTTATTCTTATTCTACTATATATATATAATCTTTGCTTTTGCTAAATCACAAGTCTCCGTTTCCATAGACAACAAAATTGTAGTAGAATTAACATGGAAGACACGAGTGAGTATTCTTGTCCTCATCATCCTTGTGCAGCCTGCAAGATCCTTCGTAGGAGATGTGTGGAGAAATGTGTGTTGGCACCTTACTTTCCCCCCACTCACCCACTCAAGTTCACCATTGCTCATAGAGTCTTTGGTGCTAGCAACATCATCAAAATGCTACAGGTATGGAGGGTTTCTTTCTTCTTCTTTTTTCCGTTTTTCCACCTGATATTCGGAGTTCGCGTTAAAATTCTAACTAAATATGGATTACGCACCAGAAGATAGATCCATTAGGAGGTGACACTCCCAACATGAGTTCACTGCCAAAAAAAAAAGTGTTCATTAAATGAAAATTTTCGTGGAGATTAATATACAAATTCATAGGAAACTTATTTTTCTGCAAATTTACATACTAATTTTCAAAAAAAATAATTATAATTTACGTTTTTCTTATATTGATTTCTCCATAAATCAAGCTTAAATTCAAGATCTATAGTTAAAAATAATAAATCAAGCTTAAATTTGAGATCTATAATTAAAAATATATGAGGCTCTTCCATATGGGTCATTGATGAACGCAGACTAAAAATATTCTCCAACACGCAACACATATGATAGTTGTGTTCCGTATTTTCTACTCATTGTTTTCTTCTTTTTTTTTACTCAATAATTTTTTATTTCTCTGTTTTCTCATTTTTCCGGCCTTATAATTACTTTTTAAAATCATTTCGCTATTAGTATTGTTATTCATAGTAGGAATAATTTTAATTAAAATAATTCATAGTACTTTTAAATGATCATCAAAATTGTTCTTTTTTCAATTAATATAATTGGAGAACATTATTCTGAACATCTTTAAAAAATTTCATAATCACTAACATTCATTGAACTGTGCCAAACAGGTTTCAACTGAATTTGTTTTTTTGTTCGATATTTTCTTTCCTTTGACTTTGCAGTACTTAGTTTCTTTTCTTGGAAAAAAAAAAGTGTAGTGTGTAACTCGTTTAAGTCAAAATCTTTTCCACATTACACACTTTAGTTTTTATTTTTCATGATTTAAAACTAATTGCATATATTACTAAAGTCTATATACTTTTCATTTAAAAGCTAAGTAAAATTATGACTGTACAACAACTCCTATAATACTATTATTTATAGTTTGAATCATAATATTATATTTTTTTCAAGTTAAATGCATGAATTATTGTAACTAGGAGCTTCCAGAGGATCAAAGAGAAGATGCAGTGAATAGCATGGTGTATGAGGCGAATGCAAGGATTAGAGATCCAGTATATGGTTGCGCCGCGATAATTTGTCAGCTTCAAAAACAAATAAGTGAGCTTCAAGCAGATCTTGTCAAGGCTCAAGTAGAGATTATGAATGTTCAAATACAAAATACCAATTTGGTGGCATTAATTTGCACAGAAATGACACAAAATCAAGAAAATAATGATCATCAACAAGCTTATGGAAATTCCAACACTTGTTTGGAAGACAACAATTTATATGCACCTTGGAAATCACTTTGGACATGATTAACAGAATATTGCATAGTGAAGGCTGATACCATATATTATATTCTTGCAAATACTGCAAAATAATGTTTGTTTTACTACTACCTTTTTCGACTTCAACTTGAAACAGGAAATTTTGAAATTGAAATACTTGTTTGGGGTTTGCTACTGATAATATAATAGCGCGATTCATTCACAATTTTCAATTTTTTCTCCAAGTGAAATTCATGCCTCAGGGTGGGGATCTAAACTAAGCACTCCTCTCCGCACTATATTATACGGTCTCCATTATTTAGGAAAATATTCATAACTCAATGTTTTAACATTTATTAAAAATATCGATATTTTAGTTTGTTATTTTTTTGATTACGTATTTCTTTTATTTGTTTGATTTAAAAGAAAATGATTATCAAATGACATAAAGGAGAAAATCACGGGGAAGAGAATATCTTCTTAAAAATGAATATATCACTTAAAATTATCAACAGTTATAATTTCAAAAGTAATTAATTATATTCATTTCAATATGTATGATATGTGAATTTGCTTTCATTATAGTTTCATGTTTGAGTTTGTATAATAACATTTATATTTATTTATTAGTTTACATTCATTATAATAGGTATATCAAACTGATTTGTAGTTATTTAAGAAACATACATGTATTCATACACTTATGTAAACTCATTTTCATTTAGAAAGGATACAACACTAATTTGTATATTTTTCAAAAACGTATATTGTAAAATTTCAACAACATTTGTATTTCAATCATTAAACATACACATTTGTCATCATAGTAACAATCAAGATTTGTACTTCAAAAAAATTGTAGTTCATGACAAAAAATATATCTCCTATGTGTTATGTATTTTTTTATAAAAAAAATTATTATATTTATTGTCTAATTTATAGAATATGAATTTAAAAGCATTTTGTATTCCAAGCATCCAACATACAACATAATCAAAACAATTCAATCATTCAATGCGTTGAAATATGAGTAGTAATTATGTAATACTTTCATCCCCTTTTGATCCTTCTGAATATGAGAAAGATGCAAAAATACTTTAATTCATTGAAAAGATAACTAGAATTGTTGATGTTGTCCAACAAAGTGTCTTCTATGAGATATTGACCCAAAACTCCCAAAATTCAATGCCCTAGAGCGTCTAACCTTTAAATCCAATATTCGATTAGTAACTTATGAAAATATTTGTGTGAAGGTCCAACATACAAAATACGATCCAAATCCATTTTGAATATTTTTCAATAGCCATTTTTGAATCACTTCCAAACAAATTATAGAATCAACAACTAATGATTACGTGATTGTTTTTCACGAATGAATCCATACTTACTTATCATTAGAAAGACCTATTCGTAAATTCCATCAATCGAATCACTTTTTCGTGAAATATGAGACATTTAGGTCATACAAGTAAAGATATTTCATTGACAATTTCAAAGTACAACAAAATCGGTCGAATTCACTTGGAAATACCAATCGATTATTTCAAAATTTTCTTCCTTAATGAAAATAATTGCAAATTAGTCGAATTCTGTAATGACCCGTTTAGTCGTTTTGAGCAACAGACTTCAATTCTGGAAAAACTGGCAGAAGCGACGGACCCCACGACGGAACGTCATGGGCACGATGGACCGTCGCAAGGTCTCGTTTCAAAACACTTAGAAAA